GTGCAAGCCATTGAAATATCGATATCGATAATCGATAAATTTAATTTATTATTATCGTCTATTTTTAGATATCATGAATATCACATTCAAATTCATGTGACATATTCGAATTTCCAAAATCCGCCCATATGTCTGTAAACCATACACTTCGTTCCTGGTACGTATGTCAATCTGTGATTGGGTTATTATTACCTAATATTTGTCAGCTCCCTTAAATGATTAAGTGACTAAAGCCGACCCCGATTAAATTAATTGCCCAACACATCGATTATTTTACATATGACTCGATTATTCATAAATCCTTATCCCGGTCTCTCCCAACAAATATCTAAACAAAAATTTCTTATTAATTGAATTACATAATGATATTTGGGAATTCAAATCCTCCTCCTCCTCGTCCAAACACTGACATACCTGAGGCAAAAGCAAATTTATTTTCTGTGCTTATTGCGTGGTGGGCAAACGATTTTATAAGCTTAGGTTATAAACGTCATTTGGAAAAAGACGATCTATACGTTTTGAATAACGCGAGATTGGCTAAAACTGTCACCGATAAATTTGAAGTTGAATGGAAAAAAGAAACTCAAAAAAATTGCGATAGGAAAGAATCCATCTTTATTAAAAGCTCTATACATGGTTTTGTGGGCTAAATTTTGCTTGGCTGGTGTTTGTAGATTTTTTAGTGATACATCAATAGTTATCTCTCCATTGATTTTAAAGGTATATGTCACGCATATTACACTTGTATTTCTACGTGATTAGTTATGATGCATCTCAATATGATAAAATTCTCTTAATATTCTTGATACTTTAGTTAATATTAAACTTTGTCACTGATTCATACTTTGCCAACTTTAATAACGGTGCGCAACCCCCGCACATTTTGGCTGCTTATTAATCGTTGCCTTGTTCTTAATGCAATTGTGTGATAACCTTACGTCAAACTTTTATTATTATTGTGGAAAGGAAACCGGTTTTCTCTCTCGCACTATTCTCATAACTGCTATCCATCGGAAAGTTTTAGTCTTAAGTGGAAAAGCAAGAAACTTATTTTCTAATGGAAAAATTATTAATCTAATGTCCACTGATACTTCGCGTATAGACTTTGCATGCACTTACTTCCACATAATTTGGGCTGCTCCTATTCAATGTTGTATGGCATTGGGTTTGTTTTATAAGACCCGCCATAGCCCAAACAGAACCGTAAGAATTGAAATCTATTAACAAAATGCCTTCAGATAGTATTTATTCTAATTTATTTTTTTATTTTGTTTTATAAGACCTGTCATAGCTCAAATAAAACAGTAAAAATTGAAATCTATTAACAAATACCTTCAAATAGTATTTATTTTAATTTATTTTTTATTTTGTTTTATAAGACCCGCCATAGCCCAAACGAAACAGTAAGAATTGAAATCTATTAACAAAATGCCTTCGGATAGTATATATTTATTTTTTATTTTGTTTTATAAGACCCGCCGTAGCCCAAACAAACAATGTTACTTCACATATACCAAAACCAGCTAATGCAGATGGGCCAATATTAAATATAAACAAACCCAATGCCATACAACATTGAATAGGAGCAGCCCAAATTATGTGGAAGTAAGTGCATGCAAAGTCTATACGCGAAGTATCAGTGGACATTAGATTAATAATTTTTCCATTAGAAAATAAGTTTCTTGCTTTTCCACTTAAGACTAAAACTTTCCGATGGATAGCAGTTATGAGAATAGTGCGAGAGAGAAAACCGGTTTCCTTTCCACAATAATAATAAAAGTTTGACGTAAGGTTATCACACAATTGCATTAAGAACAAGGCAACGATTAATAAGCAGCCAAAATGTGCGGGGGTTGCGCACCGTTATTAAAGTTGGCAAAGTATGAATCAGTGACAAAGTTTAATATTAACTAAAGTATCAAGAATATTAAGAGAATTTTATCATATTGAGATGCATCATAACTAATCACGTAGAAATACAAGTGTAATATGCGTGACATATACCTTTAAAATCAATGGAGAGATAACTATTGATGTATCACTAAAAAATCTACAAACACCAGCCAAGCAAAATTTAGCCCACAAAACCATGTATAGAGCTTTTAATAAAGATGGATTCTTTCCTATCGCAATTTTTTTGAGTTTCTTTTTTCCATTCAACTTCAAATTTATCGGTGACAGTTTTAGCCAATCTCGCGTTATTCAAAACGTATAGATCGTCTTTTTCCAAATGACGTTTATAACCTAAGCTTATAAAATCGTTTGCCCACCACGCAATAAGCACAGAAAATAAATTTGCTTTTGCCTCAGGTATGTCAGTGTTTGGACGAGGAGGAGGAGGATTTGAATTCCCAAATATCATTATGTAATTCAATTAATAAGAAATTTTTGTTTAGATATTTGTTGGGAGAGACCGGGATAAGGATTTATGAATAATCGAGTCATATGTAAAATAATCGATGTGTTGGGCAATTAATTTAATCGGGGTCGGCTTTAGTCACTTAATCATTTAAGGGAGCTGACAAATATTAGGTAATAATAACCCAATCACAGATTGACATACGTACCAGGAACGAAGTGTATGGTTTACAGACATATGGGCGGATTTTGGAAATTCGAATATGTCACATGAATTTGAATGTGATATTCATGATATCTAAAAATAGACGATAATAATAAATTAAATTTATCGATTATCGATATCGATATTTCAATGGCTTGCAC